TATATATATTTACTGTATATATATATATATATATATATATATATATATATATATATATATATATATATATATTTACTGTATATATAGTATTGTATTGTAGTTTACAAAGTCTAATACATTTAAACAGTTATACATTCAAATGAGTAATGAATATATATATATTAATTAAATAAAATTGTTTTTTTTATAAATTATTTATAATTAAAAAAATAATGTATTTTTTTGCTATTTTTTGTATAATATCAAATTAAACGACACTTATTTCCGTATAGTCAGCAAATAATTTTTTTTATATACATTATATTATTGTATATTTTGCTATTCATTATTAATGATTATTACTAATTTAGAAAATATTATATTTTTAATTTTAATTATTTTATTGTTTTTTTTTCTACTGTACAATGATAAGAAAATTAATGATAATAATTGTGAAAATATATTAAAAACTACTTATTTTAATTTTAACATTTTATATTTTAATAATTACTATATAATACAATACATAATAAGCATCCAATTAAAAAAAATAAAGTTATTTATATTCAAATTTTTTTTAAATATAAATGTTTACTAATGTATTAATGTTGTTAATTAAAATATTAATTGTTTTAGTTATTAGTATATTATATTATAAAATTCAATTATTATATAACTTATATATATATATATATAATAATTGATAATAATAATAATAATAAAATTGCATTTTTTTGACTGAAAAAATTATTCAACAATTACAGCTATAAAAAATGGATAATATTTTTTATAATAATTAAATTAAAAAACACTTATAACGGGACAAATATTAACAACGCTCCTACCGTTACCAATAGCACATAACAAAGTCGATTTTGTTATGTGCGATATTAAAACACATTTAAATTTATTAAAATTATATTATATTTAATTATATTTGACATTATCTTCAATATTGTATTCATTTACTATTTATTAATATTATGTTTATATGTTTAAAAAGAATTATAATTTATTATTAATATTGTAAATATGTTAAATTAATTATTATTATGATTTATATACTGTGATTAACAATACATGTATATCATTGACTATCTCATTATATTTATCAATAAAGTTAAGCTCAGGCTAGCAATAGCTAGTCTAGGAGGGGATTCAAGACTCATTTATACAGTTGTATCATTTATTTGAATAGTAAGTGAAAGTAGGTCATCCCGAGTTCCGATACAAGGTTTCCGATACTAAATACCGATATATAGCGCAGTTACCAGTGACCAGAGCCCCGAATGGGCCATACATATACACTGTGACGTGATTAATAAGCCTTCCAAATATACCGTTATACTTAAATAATCTTCTAATAGTAACCCATTCATAAATTACGTCACAGTTCCCTATCAAACATACCCGCATTGCATATTGCTTCGTAAAGTTCTACTTTACGGGCTATTGACGGGTAAACACTCATATATGCCCGTCACACACTAAATGCACAGTAAATATATTTTAATGTATTTTTTTCAGGTAATTATTTCAAGTAAATAAATACATATGGTATTTAAAAATTATCAATTAATTAATTGTTAAGCAATTAATGTTTTATGTTTTTTTTAATTTAATAATATTAATAGTAAAAATTGTATATAAAATAATTTGTATATATTTTTGTATAATTTATAAAATAAATCCATATATAATTATTTTCATCTCATTTTATATTACTTTAAATTATATTCTAACTATTTTTTACATAAAACATAATTAAAAAAAGAAATAATATAATATTTTATTATTATAATAATATATTTATATTATTTGTTATTAAAAATTACATTTTTGATTATTTATTTTTTTAATATTTGAGATAATTAAATTTTTGATTTTGAATTAAAAAACTGTTTTTAAAATATCAAAAATATTTGTAAACAAATATTTTTCTGATTTTATTTTAGCCAACACACCAATCATTGTTTTTTTCAAACATATTTAGATACATATTATAATCATTGATGATTATAACGGTTGAAATATATTTATTAATGTACTGAATATTAATGTAAGTTAATTAGGAAACATATAATAATATTTAATATATCTGTAGTTTAAATACTATTTTAATAGATTATGGATTTGATATTCAAATTATATTCAAAACAAAAATAAAACAAAATAGATATTATAATTAAAAAACAAATTATGTTTTTATGGAGACTATTAAATGAATCACTTATTATATTAATTATATAATATTTTAATATAATAATATCATTATTATATTAAAATAAATAAATCTATATCTAGGTTAATTATTATGCTATTGAATATATAATTAATAAAAATGCTATTGAAATAATAAAATAATATAATAGTAACTAATATTTTGAACAATTTTTTTTATTTATATATAATACATATAAACGTTTGACATTATTGATCCTTGATTCATTTAATTTTTTTGCATTGTTTAATTGTTATTTTAATTATTATCATATGTAATATTAAATATATTATATTAAAACAAAAAAATTGTTTTTATCATTATGTTTAAGTGCTAACTGTATTAACAATACTAGAATATATCATAAATTCAATTCAATATACTTAAGTAAAATAATCAACTAAATCAAACTAATTAAATACATTGTATTTAATTTTTTTTTAAATTAAATATAAATAATTAGTTAAAAAATTTTCTTTAAAAAATTAGTACTAATAATAATAATAAGTTATTAAAATTTAAATTATGTAATATTAATTGTTTAATAATAATAATTAATAATATACTGTAGATAACTAATATAACTATTAATAAATTACATTTTGTATTAATTACAAAAAAATTAAGTACAGTATAAATAATTAGTTTTAAAAATTATTTTAATGAATAATAATAATAATAAATTAAAGACAATGACAGTCAACATAACTAAAATCTTGATAATTATCGTTTGTATAATTGGTTTTCAATATCAAGCAATTAATATTACGCAACAATATTTTCGTTACGATAGGACTACAAACACAAAATTCGTGGATAATTTAGAAATACCGACATTAACGTTGTGTTTGGATAAGACTAATCTAATTAAATCCGATTTGAAAGTCAAATATGAAAATGCTAGATTGATTCGTGAAACAAATAAAACTTTAAATTATTTTGATTATAACCTATTCAACAATAATCTAACAATCAGTGAACAATTCAATTCAATTCAATCATTAAATAAAACTATTAATTGTTTAATTTTGGATACTAATAGTCATCGTAGACGATATTTAGATTGTTATACCAATATGTCTAACAATTTGGCAATTAATTGTCTAACAGTTTGTTGGACATTTAAACCAAATTTCGATAATAACCATATTAAACATTTAATACGTTTGCCATATGTATACGTATTTGATATATTAAACATTAGTAAATTTGATGATAATTATTTTTTATTAACAATTCATCATGGTCAATCTCAATCAAACAATGGCCATGAACAAATCTATGATTATTATAGAAAATCATCCGTATATTTGAATATAAAATGGTCGGACTATAGTTTTTTACAATATAAACGTATGACATATAATCAAATTAAAACAAATTGGCCATGTTCAATTGAATTAACAAATCAACAATGTCAACATGAATGCCAAATTAATTATTATATTAACCATGTAAATGGTTATCCTGGTTATTTATTATGGCTAACAAATAATTATAATAATAATAGTAGTAAAAATTTGAAATTTATTAAAAAAACAATTGATGATGATAATATTAAATCAAATTGTATTCAACAATGTAAACCAATTTTTCAATGTGAATATAATTATTATCAAATATTATATAATAATTATATAGATAAAGATAGCTATGGTGGCCATACTATTTTAATTAAACCATTAAATGAACCCATTATTATCAATGAATATTCAATAAAAATTACATTTGAAGAATATTTTTGTTTTATAGCCTCACTGTTTGGCCTATATTTTGGATTTTCATTAATTATGTTTAAAGATATTAATGATTATTGTTATAAATTAGTCAATTATTTTCAAAATTTATATAAATTAATAATAAATGTTAAAAATTATAATTTTAAATTTGAGCAAACAATTAATATACAGCCAAACACAAAACTATTTACACAAGTTAGAAATATGAGTCAATTAATGAAATAGTAATTATAATAATATTATCATAATATTAAGTAAAAAAAATTATTTATTTTTTAAACAGTTGAAATTTTTGCTACAATTATATTTTTAATTATTAGCTATTAGCTAGATAATAATAATAATAATTATTATTATTGTATACTTTAGACAGTATACATATAATTAATATAAATATTATTTTTTAAATAAATGAGTTTATTAATTACAACAATAAAATGTATATAATGTTATATTTAACTATTTTAATATATATATATATATATATATATATTACATATTTTATTTATCAATATATTTTCTAAATGTTATTATTTTTTAATTTTATAGTATAAAATAATATATAGATAACAATTATCAATTTCATACAATATAAAAAAAACTTATAGATATAAATATAAATGTTAGTAAAATAATCTAATAATTATATCATTTATAAGTGCAATAATAGTTTTAAAAGCTGATAAATAATTATTTCTGAGAAATTTTATTATTATTTATTTTTTTAATAATATTGATTATTCTATGATATAAAAAAAATTAAAATTAATTTAGATTAAACTTTGAACGTTAAATATGGTCAAAAAAATAATTAATTATCTAAAAAAAAAATTAAAATTATAGTATTAAAAAACAAACAAAATTGATTACAATTAATTATTAAGTACAGTATAAATAATATAAAATAATAATTATAAATCAAATATATCATATATCATAGATATAAAAACATCAATAGTTTTCAAAATCATATCAGCACTTAAATTAATACTTAAACTTTGAAATTATAATTTAAAAATTTTTTTTATATAAATAAGGTTCAAAAAAATTATATTAAAAACTATAATAATTTTAGATTATTTGTTTGTTTTTTTCTAAAAAAAAAATAAATAAATACTAAACACACAAAATGTTTAATAATTATTACTTTATATTTTTGACTGCTGTTATTTACATTATCAATTGTAATAACTTTATAAATACAACTCCTATTAACAATAATAGTCAACAAAATAATGTATAAATCTATTTATTTATTTATTTTTTGTTAAAATCATTTAAATTATTTTTGTTATAGTTAACTAAAAAAAAAATTATTTTTTTTTAATAATATAAACTAATTATTATTTTAATATATTTTTTTTTTCGTTTCTATGATAATATAGCAATCAATTGACTTTTCCGATAGTTATATACATGTATGCGGCGGTTGGGATGGATCTAACTATCACTCAGAGTGTTATAGATATAATACACACACAACCTGGCAGTCCATGCCATCCCTGACCCTACCCAGGGATGACTATAGTTTGGTTACTTACGATAAAAAATTGTTTGCAATCGGCGGCTATAATGTATGTAATATATAAAAAAAATAATTAATTAATTTTTTTTAATAAGCATTAATAAACTGTTTTTTATTTCAAATATATATATATATATATATATATATATATATATATATATATAACTTAAGGGTAATTATTTGAATAGTGTTGAATCATACGATACGCAAACAAATCAATGGAAACCAATTGCATCGATGAATATATTACGCCAGTATATCAATATATATATATATAAAATAATAATTAAAATTATTATTGATTAAATGTATCTTGTACAATTTAATATATAATCTAGTTACCATGATGCAGCTGTACTTGACAATACAATTTATGTATGCGGTGGTGAAAATGGTAATTACATTGTATATATATACATACTCTACCCTAACCCCCCATCCTTTAGCAACCCTGATATATATATATATATATCTTTATATATATACCTTTATATATATACATTTATATACATATACCTTTATATATATATACCTTTATATACATATACCTTTATATATATATATATATATAGGTATATATTACACAGTATATAACTATTATATTAATTAAAAATTATATATTATATTATTTTATATATATATATTAAAATACTATTAAAATTATTATAATAATTGTTTTTTTTAAACTGTTTAACAATTTTAGGTAATAATGTTTTCAAATCGTGTGAATATTATTATAAGGCTATCGATGAATGGCATTTTGCGACCGCAATGTCAATGGAAAGGCGTGGTCTGGCACTGGTAGCCCATGAAGGCTATATGTATGCTATTGGGGGTAAAAATTTGAATGAATATACAAATACAATGGAAAGGTATGATACAGTTAAACAACAATGGCAACCAATGAGTAATATGAAATATACTAGGTTAGTTATAATTTACCAATTATACATACATATAATTAAAATTAACAAAAAATATATATATATGTAGAAACTATTATTTTACTCAATTTATTGTAGAAATAAATTCGCATATAATTATGAAAACATTTTATCAAATTAAATTTATAATTATAATCTATTATTTTTTTTAAAAAAAAGTAAACTAGATTCTAGTTTAATAGTTTTATATAATTTAAATTTTTTTTTGTTGGTATAATTTATTTTATTTATTTATTTATTTTTTGATAAAATTATTTTATTGTTTTTTTAAAAAAAATAGAGGCTATTTTGGTTCAGCATCATTTTTGGATAAAATATATGTTTGCGGCGGTTGGGGTACTAGTGATTGGAAATCATGCGAAACATATGATCCGCTAACAAATCAATGGACACAAATTGGTATTATTTTTTTTTTTTTTAAAAATATTTTAATTATTTAATTTTTTTTGGAAAAATTTAATTATTTTATTGTTAATAATTATACAGTAATATTAATTGTTATTTTTTTTTAAAAAAAATTTAATTATATTAATAGCATCCATGCTATTAGATAGAAGTGATTTTAAATTGATTGCATTTGATGATAAATTGTATGCATTGGGTGGCCTAACAATGGGTATATTTATTTAGTTATTTTTTTAATTTAATTTAATTTAAGTTAAGTTAAATCAATCATTATAAATATATTTAAATTTTAAATTAGCAACAAAATAAATATTTTATTGAAATTTTTTTTTAACTATATGATAATTAATTATTTTATATATTTATTTATTTAAATATAATATATAAAGTTAGTCATGAAATTATTTTAGTCTAATATTACTATAAGTACTATCAATAGTTTTTTTTAATTTTATAATACAAACATTTTAGTATAACATTGTTATTGAAAATATTTTCTACAATTTTATACAATATATATATATATATATTATATCATAATAGGTGGTCAACAAACAGATACGGTTGAAATATATGATTATAAAGCAAATCAATGGTCATATACAACATCATTGCCAAAACCATTAGAAATGTTTGGGGTAATTGTTTTAAAATAATAATAATAATAATAATAAAATTAATATATTTTTATTATAACTAATTATAATTATTTTTTGTTAAAAATTACTTAATTTATTTCACCAGGCATCTGTTATTACATATTTGTGAAAAACAACAACAAATATATTGCATATATTTTAATGAATATATAATTTGTATACATAACAAAAATCTTGTATCTAATAAAATATTATTTTTTAATTGAATAATAATAATAATAATAAAATATTAATTGATTGTTGAAATTCAAAACTGTCTAATTGTAATATTATTTATTTTTAAAAATTAAAACAACTATTTACATTATATAGATTTATAATAATAATTGAATTTTTTTTAATATATAAATTATTTTTAAAACAAATATAATAAAATCTAAATTTATTTAGTATTTTTGATATAGTTAATAAAATTATAGTTATTAAGTATTATAATTATTATTAACATTTTATGTGATTTATTTAAACTAAATTTGTAAAAAATAATATTTATGATACTAACATTTTAATAGTAAAAATATACTGTAATTAATATACTGTATAATTTTTTTAATAAATCAATTAATTTATTATTAATTATATTGATAATAATAGTACAGTACATTGTTATACTGTACTATTAAAAAAAAATATTTATCTATTTTTATATATTTATCTATAGTGTACTTATTTTTAATTTTATACTAATAATTGTCATTTTTTACAAAATTTTCCAAGATAGATTATATATATATTTTTAAGTAATTAAGATTATAATTATCTATAATTTTAATCATTTATATTTGCAATAGTTGTTTTGAAATTGATAAATATATTATTTTTTTTAAATAATGATTTTTTAAACAAAAATAATTAATATATTTAGCTTAACATATAAATTAAATAAAGTTAAATAATTTAATTATCAACAATTAAAAAATAAATAAATTAAATGTAACAACAAACATAATATTAATTATTATAATAAAAATTTGTTATCAAATAATAACATTAATAGTTTTTATAAATCATATCAGTATACTTTAATTAACACTTAAACTTTGAAATTATAATTTTTAAAATATTTTTATATAAATAAGTTTAAAAAAATTTCATAACAAATTTATTATTGTTAAAACATAGACTTTAATTATTTTAGACTATTTGTTGTTTTAAAAAAAAATAATTTCAAAAAACAAAACAAAAATGTTTAACAATTATTACTTAATATTTTTAATTTACATTATAAATTGTATTAATTTTATAAATACAACTCCTATTAATAATAATAATAGTAAACAAAATAATGTAAATCTATAACAAACAAACAAAAATTATAAAATATTTTTTTTAGTTAATTAATTAAAAAAAAATTATTAAACTAATTATTATATTATTTGTTTTTAAAATTAATTTATTAGCAATCAATTGACTTATCGGACAGTTATATCCATATATGCGGTGGTGTCGATGGATCTACTTATTACTCGGACTGTTATAGATATAATACACATCAAAATGTTTGGCAATCAATACAATCCATGTCCACACCGAGGGATGACTTTAGTCTGGTTTCAATTGATTCAAAATTATATGCAATCGGCGGCAGTAATAATGTATGTTATAAATATTACTTACCGTAAAATTGTGTTTTATTTCACATATGGAATTTTTTTTAAAATGTAAACTAACATTTTCATATGAGAAAAAAGACTCGCATTTTTTATCACCCCCTGGTAATAATCAAGCTTAAAAATTATTATACAAAGTAAAAAAAACTATATTTTTTATATGGTAAAAAACTCGCATTTTTTTACCACCCCCTGGTAATAATTAAGCATAAAAAATTAGTATACAAAGTAAAAAACTATATATTTTTTATATGGTAAAAAACTCGCATTTTTTACCACCCCCTGGTAATAATTAAGCATAAAAATTATTATACAAAGTAAAAAACTATATATTTTTTATWTGGTAAAAAACTCGCATTTTTTTACCACCCCCTGGAAATAATTAAGCTTGAAAATTATTATACAAAGTAAAAAACTATATATATTTTTTATATGGTAAAAAACTCGCATTTTTTACCACCCCCCTGGTAATAATTAAGCATAAAAATTATTATACAAATTAAAAATAAAACTATATTTTTATATGAGAGAAAACTGCCATTATTTCCAATAAACTTTGACATTTCCATAATGGGAAATAAAACACAATTTAACGGTACATTATTATATTTTTTTTTGAAAAAATAATAATTTTAAAATTATTTATTTTTTTATTAAATATTATATAAATAGGGTAAACATTTCAATAGTGTAGAAACATATGATCAACAAACAAATCAATGGAAATCAATTGCATCGATGAATATAATACGACAGTAATTATATCTATTTTTTTAATAAAATATTTGTTTTTTAAAAAGTTTATTATTAAAATATTTTATATATATATATATATATGCAAATAAAAGTTACCATGATGCAGCTGTACTTGATAATACAATCTATGTATGCGGTGGTGACAATGGTAATTATATAATTTTATATTTAATACTATGATGTTAATTTATTTAAAAAATTATTATTATTATAATAATTGTTTATATTAGTTTTTAAAAATAGCATATTTAAAATATATATATATATAATTTACAATTTTCTATATATATATATATATTTTTTGAAAGGTAGTACTGATTTAAAATCGTGTGAATATTATTATAAGGCTATCGATGAATGGCATTTTGCGACCGCAATGTCTACGATAAGGCGTGGTCTGGCACTGGTAGCACACGATGGCTATCTGTACGCTATTTGGGGTAAAAATGGTTTATTTGGTGAATATGTAAATACAATGGAAAGATATGATACAGTTAGTCAACAATGGCAACCAATGGGTAATATGAAATATACTAGGTTAGTTTCATATATTTTTTTTCAATTATAATCATACATATAATTAAAATTATTAAAAAAAATATATATGTATAAAACTTTTTTTTTATTTACTCAATTTACTGTAGAAAAAAATTCAATATAATTATGAAAACAGTTTATGAATTAAATTTATAATTATAATCTATTATTAATAAGTAAACTAGACCATAGTTTTAATAATTTAATATGATTTTTAATATTTTTAATACTAGGTTAGTTTATTTTTAATATACAGATAGTGTTTTAATTAAAAAAAAAAGTTTAAATTTTTTAGTAATATCATGTACAGTTAACTATTCACGCTAAGCAAGGTAACTTAGTATACAATTAGTTAATATATTAGGTAAGTTTTAAATACAGTACTTTGCTAACTCATTACATAATATTTTATCAAATTTAAACTATTAACTGGCATGGACTGTATATCTTATATAAAAACTTATATAAATATATCTTGCTTAATTTATTACAGTAAATAAAAAATTATACAGTTATATGTTTTAATATATGTAACAATACTATTGAAATAATAGTCTATTAAATTTTAATTTATAATCTATACATTTTCTATAATATATTTATAGAATATATAATCAAAAAAAAAAATTATAAGTAATCAAAAAAAAAACATTATTAAACTACAATAAAATCTAGTTTAAAAATTATTTTTTTTTCATATTGTCAATAATTGATAAAATTAATTAATTTTATTTTGTTAAAATTTTATTTGTTAAAATATAAAAAGAGGCTATTTTGGTTCAGCATCGTTTTTGGATAAAATATATGTTTGCGGCGGTTCGGGTAATAGTGATTGGAAATCATGCGAAACATATGATCCGCTAACAAATCAATGGACACCAATTGGTTTGTTTATTTTTAAGAAACATATTGTTTTTTATTTTATATTTATTGTTTAAATTATTTAATTGATAAGTTTATACAGTAATATTATTTTTATTAATTATTTGTTAATTATTTATTAAATAATATTTATAGCATCCATGCAATTGGATAGAAATGATTTTAAATTGATAGCATTTGATCATAAATTGTATGCATTGGGTGGACAAACAACAGGTTTTTATTTTAAATTATAATAATTATTTTATTAATAACATATACAGTATATATAATTTTTATTATAGTTTTCTTTTTATTATTTTAAGTTATAATAAATATTTAATTAACAATTAATTATAATTAACATATATATATATATACTGAATATCTAATATATTAAATTTTTTAAATAGTATAAATGATATTAAAAATTATAATTATAAACTAATTAAATAATTAGTTGAATTTAGTTAGGTAAAAACGTTTATAGATTTTTTTTTTAAAAAAACTATTTTTCACAATTATATAATACAACAATTTTTTTAAAAAAAAAAATATTTTTTTATGTAGATGGTCAACTAACAGATACGGTTGAAATATATGATTATAAATCAAATCAATGGTCGTATACGACATCATTGCCAAAAAAGTTACAAATGTTTGGGGTATATAAAGTTTTTATTTTTATATCAAAACAAAATAAAATTTTATTAATATAATTTTACATTTTGCATCCTAGGCATCTGTTATAACATATTTGTAACATAAAAAATATTGCATATTTTTTTTTATAATTGATATAACTTGTATACCATAAAAAAAAAAAAATCTTGTATCTGATAAAATATTATTTTTAATGAATTATAATAAAAATATTAATTGATTGTTGAAATTTGAAAACTGTTTCAATTGTAATATAATTATAATTTTGATTAATAGTTAATTTTATGTATTAAAATTAAAACTATTATTTCAATTATACACATTTATCTTACTTGATTATTCAAAAAAAAAAAATTTAATATATAAATTATTTTCGAAATAAATATAATAAAATATAATTAATTATTTAGTATTTTTGATATAGTTAAAGTAAAATAAAGTTATTGATAATAAATATTATTAACATTTTATGTGATTTATTAAAACTAAATTTGTTAAATAATATTTATGATACTAACATTTTAATAGATAGTAAAAATACAATTAATCTATTTTTTTAATAAATTTAACTCGTAATATAAATATATTTATATATATATTTTACACGATATATTATTTATAATTAATTAGTTTAGTAATTAGTAATTTATAAAATTTACAAAATAAATTGATAAATAAAATAGTTTTTTTTAATATAATTATCAAATAATAATAAAAAACAAAATTCAATTTTAAAAAAATATTATTTTTAAAAAAAATTAAGTTTGTTTATACATTTTTAATTTTTTTTTATATAAATTTTATGTATTTGTATGTATTATTGCTTTAAATTAAATTAAATTAAAAAAACATTTAAAAAAATTATATTTTTAAAGATTATTAGTTCATAAAATTATTATAACGATCGCAGCCTAAACTGTACCGACAGTTACCGCCAACCATATAAAGTAGACCATTGATGAACTGTCGGGCACCGGGACTTAACGGTAACGACTGTCGGCCACCGGTTTCCCAATCGATAACTAGTTTTAGGATTTCTGACTCCAATTGTTCAATACGTCTAATAATGTTTGTCTGCGACTCTAGTATTGAACACTTGTGTTTAACAGCAGTTATGGCCACAGTGTTGGCCATTTGCGGCAATATATGGCTATCATTATTGTAATCATTATGAATGAATGAGCTACCGGTGCCCGTAGTTAGAGATTGTTGTCCAATGTTGGCCATTATCTCTTTTTCAAACGAAAACAAATCGTTAACTAATATAATCTGGTCGGTTGCCAATTGAATCAATGTTTGCATACGCGGGTCCAACCAGTCGGGCTCCGGTAGTTCAAACTTGTAGGCATACTCCAGGGTTAGTGTAGTTGGTATTACACCAGCAGTTTTGCGGCGATTCTAATAATTATAATAATATATATTAAGTACAGTAAGTACAGTATGTGTATGTGTATGTGTATGTGTATGTGTATGTGTATGTGTATGTGTATGTGTATGTGTATGTRTATGTGTATGTGTATGTGTATGTGTATGTGTATGTGTATGTGTATGTGTATGTGTATGTGTATATGTATATGTATATGTATATGTATATGTATATGTATATGTATATGTATATGTATATGTGTATGTGTATGTGTATGTGTATGTATGTGTATGTATGTGTATGTGTATATGTGTATGTGTATGTGTATGTGTATGTGTATGTGTATGTGTATGTGTATGTGTATGTGTATGTGTATGTGTATGTGTATGTGTATGTATGTGTATGTGTATGTGTATGTGTATGTGTATGTGTATGTGTATGTGTATGTGTATGTGTATGTGTATGTGTATGTGTATGTGTATGTATATGTATATGTATATGTATATGTATATGTATATGTATATGTATATGTATATGTATATGTATATGTATATGTATATGTATATGTATATGTATATGTATATGTATATGTATATGTATATGTATATGTATATGTATATGTATATGTGTATGTGTATGTGTATGTATATGTATATGTATATGTATATGTATATGTATATGTATATGTATATGTATATGTATATGTGTATGTGTATGTGTATGTGTATGTATATGTGTATGTGTATGTGTATGTGTATGTGTATGTGTATGTGTATGTGTATGTGTATGTGTATGTGTATGTATATGTGTATGTGTTATCTAATACTAACTTTTAGCAATTGATCCAGAGAAGCGAACCGTTGATTTTTGGCCTCATTTTGTTCAATATTACCGTTCACGTAGTCCAACCAGGTATCGACAAAACGCGACCACTGTTGGCCATTGAATGACCGATAAATGTCCGTAAATGTTGGCTGTATTTCCCGAACATATGACTCCATACGGTCTCCCTCGCCGCCACCACCGCCGCTACTGATATCGGCAAATAGTTTGGCCACTTGTGACCAAACTCGGCGACATTCGTCCATATTATTGTTGTTCAATGGACCGGACGGTTCATCAGTTTTGTCGTCCATTATATAATAGTAGATCATATGCTGTAACATATGATAATACCTGTCCCTATCCAGACATTTAGGATAGTAATAGGCTGTACACAGTTTGGCTGTAAAAACTTGTTTCATATATTTATTAACTGATATATGACTGGTCGGGAACTGTCGGTATAGCCAACGGTTTAGTTCATCGCCGCCGACAGTAATGTCCAGCGGATTACGTTTGAACGGCAATCGGGTGGTCAGCTTAGGTATCGGATATCTGACCGGATAGTGGCGTAACTTAATGTCGCAAATGTTGTCGCAAACTTGTATTATATTATTTATATTTATATTATTATTATTTGTCATAATTTTTATAATATATTTTTTACTATTTTTTAATATCCTAATTATATTACTATAGTTAAACTATATATATATATAACTGTTTAACTATTAATAAATTATATATAAAAGTTATATACACTGTATATAAAGTACAGTAGAAAAAGTTAATGTAACAAAATTACTAATTAATTATTATTATTAAAAATTATTACAAATTATTACAAATTATTACAAACAAACAAACAAAATAATAAATGTCTACAAAAATTAATTAATAATATGTTTGTTATGCAATAAATATATATTTTGTAACTTATTTTTTCCGTTATATAAACAGATGGTCACTGATTTTTTAATATTAAACAACAAAAAAATTAGTAACAAAAATACTTGACACGGTTATTTGTGTAATAACTTTTTTTTTAAAAAAAATTAATTAAAAGTTTCAATAAATTTAATACTAAATTTTTTCAAGTACTATGGAATCATGTTAGGATTTTATTAGCATAGATATGGTCTAAAAAATAAAAGTGTCAAGATATTTTTTAAATGAGATTAATATTACTATTATTGGTTATTTTTATAAATAATAATTTAATTATTTGCTATTATTAATTAGGATCTTTAGTTTTTTTTAATTATTAAATAAAAAACATTTTCACTAATTATTGTAATATACTGTAATATATAATTTTGTAAAATTTTAATAATAATTGTTACTAAATTTATATAATAGAAAAAATGTTTTTTATTAATATTTTTTTTTAAAAAAACAAGATCTTAATTAAAAATTGCACCTAGACTTTTTAAATTATATTTATAAACAACATAATAATAATTGATCTCATAACATAATTACCTTGGCATTTTTATTTTAGGGCCATATATAAAGTATTACAATATTAAATATTTTAGTATTTTTAGAGATATCAAACATCCCTGACCCCGCACCCATCCTCCTACCGGAGCCGTAATATACCAAATGTACTAATGCTTTAACATGTAAAATGTATTATTTTATTACTATATTAAAGTTATAGCCATACAAAAAAACCCGTGCCAGACACTTTTGTCTTACATTTTATAAATCGATGAAATTATATCTACTTTTTTTATTTATTATTAAATAAAACTATTTCAAAAATACTAAAATTATGTTTTGTATTTATTATATATTAATTTTTTTATATGTGTGTACATTAGTTATCATTAAGTTTTCCTGAAAAGTTTATCATAGATTATATTTTAAATTATAATATATGTATATAAATAAAATAATACTATTTATAATAATAATTTTATTTATTTTTAATAATTTTTGAAATTATTACACTTATGATACATACATCTATAAAACTACATGTATATTAAAATAAAATGTACATACAATATGTTTTTGTTATTAAAATGTTGTTAATTAATTTTTTTTAAATATTTTTTTTTTGAAAAACAAATTTTGAAAAATCTAATAGTAATATATAATTAAATATTTTTTATTTTTCAAACAAAAAATCTTATCAAAAAAAAATTAATAGAATTACATTAGTTTG